ATTTTAATTTATAGTTATTTTTTTCTTGATAATGCTGATTTGTTCAGAAATATGTGGATATTATTTCATATCAGGGTGGTGCGTAACTGATGCGCTGATAGAAATCTTTTACATGTAAGGATGAATGATGAAAGGTATCTTTGCCCATATCTAAATTTTCCATTAGTTACAAAATGATAACGTGTTGTTATATATATACATATATATATATTGCTTTGATCCAAAATTTTAACTAGAAAAATGGAGAAGAAAAAAGGCAATAAATTTTCATTTTTTCCCGTTATTGAACTATATTATTTTTTGTATAAACCATAAGAACATTTTGAACTCAGGCTTGGTTTGCTAGTTAAAAGAGTTTTTAAAGAAAGCTGGTTTAACATGGCTTTCTCTAAAAATACATTTAGAATAAAAAGTTCTTTTGAACATCAGTTTCTGAACAAAAATTAAAGCAACTTGTTTGGAAAACCCTTATATAGGATGCAAAAGTCATGTCAAATGAGTTCTAAGTTATCTCTTGATGTATGTTTTGAGCCAAACTCAATGTCTCCTACATTATATTTATTCTTTTTCTTAATGATTAGGGTTGGGCAAATCTTCCCAATCGATCGAACTGAACCCGCCGGTTCTTGTCAAATTAAATACCCAAACAGGTATCTGAATTGAGAACCGACATGTACGGTTCGGTTCTCGGTTCTAAACCAAGAATCGAAGAATCGAATAAGAATCGAATCTTTCTAATTTTTTTTTATATTGAGTAAATCAAATTATTTTAATTTTAATTTTTTCTAAACAAATTAACAAATTAACAATTTCTAAATCCAAATTTTTGGTTCAATAATTTGTTTCATTTCTAATTTTTTAATTTTTGGCCACATTACCCATTTTATTGTTTCATTTCTTAGTCTAACAAGATCCAATCCACTAAATAACTTTAAACACATACACTAAAGTGCATAACGTTGTCTCGACTCTCGCACTCACTCTCACAACCTCGTTGACATTTCAAAACCTTTACAATCGTCGGTCAATGCTGTGACCTCCGATCGGAGCTGCGACCTCCGCCGACCGAAACTTTGACCATAGCGATCATTTAAATAAGGTAGTCTATTAGTCTATGGCATTCCAAAATCATTGAATGTATTATTAGTTGTATTTATATAATGTTGTTATAAATGTTAAAAAATTTAATTATAGTATAGAACCGAATTGAACCGAAGGGAACCGAACCCGAACGGTTCCATAATTATATTTGGACCCGACGGTTCCATTTACTAGATATCCGAAAATTTTGGTTCGGTTTGACTTTAAAAAGAACCAAACCGAACTGACCCACACCCACCCCTATTAATGATTATAAATCTGTAAGTATCGAAAGTGCTAAAGTCCAAAACCACTGAATGTATCATTAAATTTAAACAAGGTAGTCTATTAGTCTATGGCATTCCAAAACCATTGAATGTATCATTAGTTGTATTTATATAATGTTGTTATAAATGTTAAAAAATTTAATTATAGTACAGAACCGAACGGAACCGAATTGAACCGAAGGGAACCGAACCCGAACGGTTCCATAATTATATTTGGACCCGACGGTTCCATTTACTAGATATCCGAAAATTTTGGTTCGGTTTGACTTTAAAGAGAACCAAACCGAACCGACCCACACCCACCCCTATTAATGATTATAAATCTGTAAGTATCGAAAGTGCTAAAGTCCAATTGAGCTATGTAGAAGCTTGAAAACTTCTACATTGGTTCATAAGGACTTTACTAAAAACGTATAAATTCTACAAGGATTTTCAAACTTTAAAAATTATGGCATTAACGTCATAACTAGCTTTGAACGTTTATCTGAATGTTAAAATGACAAAAGTGACATTTACGCAATGTCGAGGACGGGTGGATGCATGGTGTAGTGAACATTAGGAGTTTCCTTTCAATCAGACTTCACTTGAGTATCACGCGGCCATTTTAGTGTACATGGTGCCACATTTTCAAAATATTGAGAAATATTACTTGAGTGCAACAAATGGTACGTTGAATGCCACACTTCAAAAATAAAGGAGATCTCTGGTGGAATTCACTTCCAACAGAAAAAAGAAAAAGTAACTTTCTGGAATGTGTTTAAAATTAAAATTCTTATCCAAACATGGCATTAAGGTCTTGGGTTGGACGCTTTTGACTACATAAATATATCTCGTTTGTTATAAATAGAGATCTTGCTGCCACCTTCCATTTCGGCCCAAATGTTTTGTATGACTTTCACTCTAACCCCCCAAATTCTCCATAAATTCAAAACCCCCCCTATTCTTGGTCCAAGTTCTTCAGATCCTACCTGCAAAATCCTTAGCTCTGAGTAACAGTCATCCCATCACAGTCGGTGTTAATCCAAGAACTTCATAAAACCCCAAATTCAATTTCAATGGATACCTCTAGCGAAAAAGGCAAGTCAATAATTATATTAATGTTTTATTTCCTTATTTTAATGTTATTGTATCTTCCGCATATTTCTTGCCTTGTTCTTGCATCAGATTTGGACCCATCTTCAAATTTAGTTGAAAATGATCATAAAGATTATGTCCCTTTGAGTGAAAATGAATATCAAACAAACCCAAATGTTAATTTGGTAAGAAAACAGCAACAGCAATTGGAAAAAATGGAAGAGTTAGTAAAGAACCTCACTCAACTTGTTTCACGATTAGAGGCCAGATTTTCTGAGATCCCAGAAAAATTTGAGAAGTTACCTTTGTTGTCAACTGATGATGAGAAAAGGAAAGTTGAGAAATTTAAAGAAGGGTTAAATGGGAAAGAGAAGGTGGCATCAGGAGCCGGGCCAGGGATGGTATCAGTGACGAAGTATAGTACATTTTGGTCGGAGAGGTTTCAGTTTGTGTCGGCCGTGAAACTGGGGTCGAGTCCTAGTTGTATTAACGTTTTGCCTTTTAGGGATTTTGAAGGTTTGAGCAAGTATGTTGCAGTGGGGGATGATAAGGGTAAGTTATACGTGTTTCTAAGAAATGGGGATGTTTCCGTGGAGTTTGATCCTTTGTCTACGTTGCAGTTGGAATCATCGTCCATAACAGCTATTGTGTCATACTTGTCAGTTTATAAGAACGAAAGCATAATTGTTTCGGGGTATGATAGTGGCTTAGTTTTTATGCATAGGGTTTGGGAGGTGTCAAACAATGATGAGTGGAGTACGCTCCACGTGGAGATGGTCGGAAGATTTGAGATCTCAGAAGGAGGTCGATCAAGGATTAATGTATTGGAAGTGCACCATGTTGGGAGGAAAAGATACATTTTGGCTATAGATGGTAGCGGGAAAATTACAGTGTTTCGGGAAGATGGTACGGTTTATGGGTCCGCTTTTCCAAGTAGGCAGCCACTTGCATTCTTGAAGCAAAGGCTTTTGTTTCTTACAGAGACGGGGGCAGGGTCTTTGGATTTGAGGACCATGAAACTAAAGGAATCCCAATGTGAAGGATTGAACAATTCTATTGCTAAGAATTATGTTTTTGATGCCATAGACCGGTCAAAGGCATATGGCTTCACTCAGGAAGGTGATTTGATTCACACATTATTGATGGGTGATGTAATGAACTTCAAATGTAGAATTAGATCGAAGAGAAAGATGGACTTGGTTGAGCCCCTAGCCTTGCATGCAATGAAAGGTTATTTGCTAATTGCTAACCAGGAGAAAATTTTTGTGTACAACGTGTCATCTCAGCATTATGTTTGGGCTGGTGGGCTACGACTTTCTTTCTCCGTTGGCCTTGATGAGATCATAGCATCTTTTGTAAATCAGAAAGTGGTCAATGTAAACGATGAAAAGAGGATGGCGATACCTTTGCTTACAAGCGATTATGAAAAGCTTGTTATTCTGAGTCTTGGGAATGGATATGTGGCAATCTATCGTTCCAACCTTCCATCAATCAAAAGTGAATTCAATAGCATCCTATGGACGAGTCCTGTTTTGTTTTTCATTCTGTTCCTATTTGGAGCGTGGCAGTTTTTTGCCAAGAAGAAGGAGGCACTTACTTCATGGGGCCCCGATGATCCATTTAGTTCCACATCTGTCACGAATGGAGCACCACTGGTGTCAGGCACGGTGGAGAGGTCTTTCAAGGATTCTTCAAGAAATGTTGAGATTATGGATCTGAGAGGCAGTGGTTTAAGAGCTCCATCAAGAAGGTTCTCTCCAACAAGGTACTCGGGGGGATCAACTGGTCCCTATAGGCCAAACCCAGATGAAGATTCTAGACCTTCTCCAATTGATCCCCGATTCAGAACGAACTCTGAGTTGAAATTTAGAGGGTCAAGTATCGAAACTGCAAATGTTCCAAAAAGAAGAGAGGGCTTATATGTAAATGGTCAAGTTATAAACGATAGCAATTGACGGTGTTTTTACCCCATTAAACCTGTATTCTCATTATCATGTTTTCTACCTGTGCAGTTGGTCCTGCAGACCATCTGAGCTTTCTGTAGTTCTGATTTTATAGCATTTACTCATAGCAAAAATGGAAATAATTGGAACTTCTTAGGCCATTATTATCAGATATCTTTAAGTGTTGATTCCAAACGAAAGGCTTTTTTGCTTTCTAATTTAACATAGTTTTGCTTCTGGTTCCCCTCTTTGTTTTCCTTACATTGTGGTGGTGAAAAAGAAATGTCTAAGAAATTGCTTAAATAGATGAAATGCTGGAAAATTAACCATCAGTGAACGTACAGACAGCCGATAGCATAAAAGGGAAAAGACAGATAG